ATGAAATCTCATGCATTAACCAACCAAGACACTTATAGACTGAAATGTTCATCACCCAAATTCAGTCCGAAGTTCTGGGGACAAAGCTTCAATGCTTCTCTTCAAATAAACATTTACTCAAAGTCCAGCACTGGTTGTCGTTCCGCTGCTCCCAAAGTTTCGCTTCCAGGAAACCTCACGGCGTCAAATGTCCGCACTTCAATAACAAAACTTCTTCGCCGGTAACACGTTGGCCACTCACGCGCTGCGACTGCAGAGCACGTCTTCACCCGCGGGTGGTAAACACACACTCAACTCCTGCTTGTAGAACAAGCCTTCGCACGCTGGCGGAAAAACACTCATCTCCTGATCACCACCATCCGCAGCTCGCATATAAACGTTCGCCCTGGGTTCTGGAAGGTCGTCGGTGCGCCGCAAGACCGAAAAGGGAAGGGGGCGAGACTTTTCTCGAACTCTCCTCGACACGTGAGGCAACCAGGGTGTGACTCACGCCTTCCTTCTTGATGCTTCTGGAATTCGCTCGGCGATAGATGCGAGGAGGTTGGTCAGCTGGTGGTGGTGCCTTCGAGGGGGAGAGGAGGTGTGCGTGCGGCGTATTTTTGCTACTTGTTTCTTGTTAACGCCGGCTTCTGCCGCGTCTGCTTGGCGCCTATAGTTTTCACGTAGCGGTTAGAATTCGAATGAGCGCGCTTTGTTGATCACTCATTTGTGAAAGATGTTCACCACTGCAATCAAAATTGACGTTTCGCCAACATTACGCCTGCATATGGTCTTTTTCCAAAGTTCCGAGACCTGGCCTGGCTTTGTGGTAGGGTACTTGATTGCCACGCGGAATGTCTCAGTTTGATTCCTGTTTAGACCATAAAATACATTCTTTCTATTCGTCGGGTCAATGCTGCCGATGTCATTTTTTCTTAATTCTCTCGAAGTTGAATTATCAATGTCTTTTCTCGCCATTTCTCGGTAGGTATAACCAGTCGAACACCTACGACGCATAGCCGCATACTGCGGCCTATTTCATATGGGTATGTGCCACACTTGTCTACAGGAAAGGATTTGAAGTCGTACGCCTCGGTATCTTCAAATTATTCATCTCATGACCAGTCATAATCACCACACCCTCTTACCCTCCCTGTCTAATTTTGCTTTACCCCAAGTTAAGAAGGGCATCATCAGAGCACCCGGACGTAGGCGGCTATATAAATATATAGACAGATAAATAAATACGTAAATATAAAAGACCGAAGTGTGAGCAGCACGCAAAGAAATGCTTGGCATTTTATAAAACAGGTCTCGTGCACACGTTATGCACGCTATCTCCGGTCAAATGAAGAACTACGTAAAGTTGTGTTCTCCCCACAAAGCGTGTTACTGCGGAAAAGCAAGCTTTCACAAAGGTTAAACGCTAACTTTGTGCGTAGGCTCTCACAAGTAGTACATCCCTGGGATGGCGTCCCATCCAGCGACAGCCCGCAAGATATTAAAGACGTGCGCAGCATATTTATTTGGTTATCGTTCTGCAACACCCGTGCGCTTTCGCAGTATCCTCCTCATATGTCCGCGTGAGCCCCAGTGCTGATTTTCATGACTAATGGCGGTCGTAAACGGTGACCTGATGTTTTCTTCCCATCTGCGCATTAAATACTCCAGCACTCGTGAAGCAAAAAAAAGGTTAAATAACAATGAACGAAATAAAAAAGCGCGCCTATTGTGGCGCTGAATAAAAGGCAACGTCCATCTTTTATGGGAGCGGTCGCACGAAAGCTTTTACTGTTGGGCACTTCTGTTTCTTGCATCACCTCTTAAAATGTTGTATTTACATGGGGTAGCGGCTACTTGGGTTACTATGTATAGAAAAAGAACGAGGAGAAGAGAGGTGCAGAAGAGGCGGAAGTCCATCGTCTCGCGTCTTGGTTTTTGCTGCTTCCTACTGTCTACCATCATCAGCGTCAGCAGTGTAGTAATTGTGGCCTTAGTATCAAAGCGGCCCGATTTATTGAGCATAGTACTGCGAGGCTCGCCGTTCAGGTAAGAGGGGCGGAAAGCAACGATTGCGGCTGGAGTTTTCTTTAAAACTTTCTGGTACCTTATAAGGCCTTGAAATGCTTACAATCTTCTGACCTCGCGCAGTGGACTTGTCGACAGTCGTCTCTGCGGTGTGGTGCTTACATGTGGCTTGTCATACGGATAAGCTGTAGAACCTTTTATTATTAGACATATAATAAATAGCACACGCTAGAAGTTAAGCAGTACAGTATCTAAACTCCGCATTTATTCCATCGCCGATTCATGGTCAAAACCATAAGAAACTGAATTATTATTATTATTATTATTATTATTATTATTATTATTATTATTATTATTATTATTATTATTATTATTATTATTATTATTATTATTATTATTATTATTATTATTTATCACTCCTTACGTTTTTCTGCGCACGTACACTAAGCGCGTTGAATCTTTTCAACTGAAATTGGCATGTGTGATCGGGAATGTCATTTCTAAATCCAGCAAGAACACCACTAAACGGATTCAGATTAAAAAAAGAAGAAAAAGTTGATATATATAATTATCGCTTCGCTTTAGAAGTGATCCTGAATCTCGTTACGGCAGTGTTGTACTATTGTCGTTGCCGGCACTACACTGCCGACAAAATCACGCTGACTTACTATATCTATACAGTGTTACGACCGCCATCGGTAGGCGCCATGCTGTCGCTGAGAAGCGTAGCCGGGCCGCGTTCCCACGCCTGGAACCCAGGTTTTCTTGGAACCAGCGTCGAGATCTGACGGGGGAGCGGCGCTCTTTTGACCCTCAAACAAGTAGCCGACTCGCCGAATGCTTATGCCCGCCAGGTATTGTCACTGTTAGCCGGCGGATGAGACGTCACGTCGCCACGAAGCGGTAAGCCGTTCCAGAGGGGACAACAAAGACAGCGTCTTCCTTTGTAGAAACGGCGACCGCCGCCACAAAATGCCCTGCTAATTGAGCAGAGAGGTTGGCGGACCGTTTGATCTCTGCTGTCCGAAGCTTGGGATCCCTCGACCAGTGACACACACGACGAGCAAGAGCCCCTCTGGCGCCACCTTTAAGTGCAGTGATCTTGACTCGAAATTGGCTGTTCACGTGCGCCGTGCCTGCTCGTACCCCTCACCTGTTGTGTGTATGTGATTGGTGTTCGACTGAAGAAGGAGGAGCCCGACAGGGCTTATAACGGCGCCGCAGAGTGCAGGACGGCGCTCTGAACCCAGTAAAGGTTCAACCACCACGTTCGTAGTTTGTGAAGGCTCTGAACCAACTAAAGGTTTAACCACCACGCTCGTGGTTTGTGAACTCTTAACCTCATGCTGTAAATATTTGTAAATAGTGCCATAAACCTTGTTTGTTTTTCGTATCCCCATCTTGTAAGCGGTCGTTTCCTCAACCCGAAGCTACACCACGCTACCACAGCACCCCGGGATCGCGACAACTGGTGATCAGCGGTGGGATCACGACAACTGGTGGCAGCGGTGGGATACGACTCAGCACCCCGAGCCGCAACAACTGGTTGGCATCAGTGGGATTCCCGACAACTGGTTGGCAGCGGTCGGATTCGAAGCTACAAGTGACAACAACAGTCGGCCCAAGAGAAGCAGTTGGCTCGAGACATGGATCACGTATGGGTGAGTGCTTGGCTTTTCCTTTGAGTGAACCAGGTTCTAAAAGAGGGTAAATTTTAGAACTGGTAGTTAACTTTGCCGAAAGACTCAGTTTCGCCGTTTCGGAAAGTTATTTTGGAAGTAGCGAGCACTCAGTACGATCATGAACTTACGGGAGCTGCAGAAGCCGGACTTGTTGCTGTTGTGTGAGGAATTGGGGATCAATACAAAGGGTTTGGCACGGAAACCCATAATCATACAAGTCATTAATGATTTGGGGGCTGAGGATGAGGAGCTCAGTGAAGCATGGGACCTCATCAGTCAGAGAAAGAGACAGCAGAAGGAGGAGGAAGAGAGGCGTGAGCGCGAAAGAGAGCGTGAAACAAAAAGACGGGAATCTGAGAGAGAGGAACGTCGCTTAGACCGAGAGCGTGAAACACAAAGACAAGCGCATGAAATCGAGATGCGTAAACTAGAACTCGAGTTGGGAAAGAGGTCGGGTAGCAGTCCCCAGGAAATGATAGCTCTTCCCCACAGGGAGGCCGAGTTCAAGATGTCTAAGTACATCCAGCCATACGTGGTGTCAGGGGATATTGGTCTGTACCTGGCAAATTTCGAACGGATGTGTGAGAAAATGTCGTTTGAGCAGGACACCTGGTCCCAAAGGCTACTCACGGTTCTGCCCTGCGAGGCAGCAGAGGTTGTTGCGCGACTCAGCAAGGAGGACGCAGACAACTATGAGAAGGTCAAGGCTTGCCTTCTAAAAAAGTATAGACTTTGCGCAGAGGCCTTTAGACAAAGATTTAGGGGCGCTAGAAAGTCTAAAAGCGAGAGCTATCCCGACTTTTGTACAAAATGAGAGCGAATTTGACAGAATGGCTTAAGAGCACAGAGTCATACAGTGACAAGAACGCTGTAGTAGAGAGAATTCTATTAGAACAGTTTTTGAATTGTCTCCCAGAGCAGGAAAAAAACTGGTTACTGGACCGGGGTGACATAAGTTCTGCGACGACAGCTGCTGAACTCGTGGAGGAGTATGCGTCGCGACGATATTTTAGCAATAACCTGGGTGCAGATGGAGCCCACAATTCCAAGCCAAATTCAAGTAAAGGTTACGTAAAACATTTTTCGAGCTCTCGACATGAAAAAGGGGAAAGAAGTGTTTCTTCTAACAAATTTCAAAAGAAGGACGATGGTGAACCTGGCGAAAAAGGGCAAAACGCGGGAAAAGCGAAAAATGCTTTTGAGGTTAAGAAACCGTTCACTTGCTTCAAGTGTAATGAGACTGGTCACATAGCCGCGAACTGCCGAAAGGAAAAGATGGCGTTTTCATTTGTCAGTGACTGCGAAGAAAACATGAGGTTACTGGAGCCTTACATGCATGACCTGGTGGTGAATGGAAAGCCATGCAAAGTGCTGCGTGACTCGGCAGCAACAATGGATGTTGTCCACCCGTCGTTTGTGTCACCATCCGACTACACAGGACAGTGCTCGTGGATCCGCCAGGTGGTGGAAGAGCAGAGCGTATGCTTGCCTGTCGCAACCGTTGTAATTGAGGGCCCCTTTGGTAAACTAACAACTGAGGCAGCAGTTTCAGAAAAACTCCCTAAATTTTATCCGTACTTGTTCTCAAACAAATCGGATATGTTATTGCGAGAGAAGGGCATTCTCTTCGGTGACAGGGTAGTTCAAGCGTTAACCCGTTCGAAGGTGCGAAAATTGGCAACTCAGCTATCCTCGGAGCCAGATAGTACTGAGGAAGCGCATGACGTAACAGTGGTGCAAACAGAGGAAGACATTTCAGGCAACCGTGGCAGCGAGGCCCCAGAGATCGGTCATCCGGAGAAGGAATCTCGTGATAATGAACTTGAGTGTGCGTTACTGCCACCAGCATCAAATAGCTTTACTTTACTTCTGAGTGCAAACAGGGATAACTTGGCCACTGAGCAATTAGAGGATGCCACCATTCAGGAGATTAGAGAGCGCCAAAGAACGAGTAAACAGGCCAGGAAAAATATTTCTTTCCATCTGAAGAATGGCGTGTTGTATCGCTCATACAGGGATAAGCGCGGAGTGGAACGAGACCAACTAGTCGTTCCCCAGAAATATCGCGCAGATCTGCTCAACTTTCACATGGCAGTTCGTGGGCGTGTCACCTTGGACACAGAAAAACTAAGCTGAGGCTATTACAAGAGTATTACTGGCCTGGCTGTTTCAAAGACGTGGAAAATTTTGTGCGGTCGTGCGACACATGCCAGCGAGTTGGAAAGGCGCAGGATAAGTGTAAAGCACCTATGGTGTTAGTGCCGATCATTACCGAGCCGTTTCAACGGTTAGTGATCGATATAGTGGGACCACTCCCTGTGACAAAGACAGGATGTCGTTACATTCTAACTATGTTATGCCCAGCCACTAAATTTCCTGAGGCAGTGGCACTGCGTGAGGTTACGTCACAGAGTGTTGTGGATTCCCTGTTGTCCGTCTTTTCGCGAGTAGGGTTTCCTACAGAGATACAGAGTGACCAGGGCAGCGTATTCACTAGTGTCCTCACGACCTCTTTTTTCGAACGATGTGGCATAAAAATAGTGCACAGCTCTATTCATCACCCTCAGAGCAATAGCGTAGAAAGATGGCATTCCGTCCTGAAGCGCGTCCTTCGAGGATTGTGTTACGAGAACAAACGAGACTGGGATGCATGCCTCCCAGCGGCACTTTTTGCTTTGCGGACGGTACCCCACGAATCCACTGGTTTTAGCCCCGCCGAGTTGGTGTACGGTCGGTCATTGCGCTCACCTTTGAGAATGGTGCGCGAAGCGTGGGAAGGACACGGAGAAGATCCGACCGTGGTAGAGTTCATTCTCAATCTACTGGAGCGGCTATATAAGGCCAAAGAACTTGTGGAGGTCAGCATGAAGTCAGCCCAGGCCCGATCAAAAGTTTACTATGATAGAACAGCTCGTCAACGAACTTTCAATATAGGGGACCGGGTCATGTTGTTAAAAGCGTCAAGGCAGAACAGGCTCGAAGTACAGTGGGAAGGGCCTGCGGAAGTAGTTGCAAAGCTATCTATGACCAACTACGCAGTGAAAATTCCAGGTAGACGTAAAGAGGTACGCATTTATCATTGCAACCTAATGAAGCCTTATGTGCAAAGAGAGGCTGTGGTGAATATGACCCTGAATCTTCCTGAGGAGATGGAGGACAACTTTGTTTGTCTAAATGGAGGGAAAGGCAGCGCTAAAAAACTCCTTAATAAAACTAAGCAAAGAAAGGAACTAAAAGAATCCCAGCTTTCGGATCTTTGCGGGCTGATAGGAGAGTTTGACGACTGCTTTGTTGACAAGCCGGGTCGGACTGATTTGACTGAGCACGACATTGAGTTGACTTCCGAGGAACCCGTGAGGTCCAATTGTTATCGTTTATCTCCACGACAGAAAGATATTCTCGATAAAGAAGTAAAGCGCATGCTGGAGTTAGGAGTAATTAAACCCTCAGAGAGCGAATATGCTTCTCCAATGATCTTGGTAGAAGCTCCGGGCAAAGACCCGAGACCTGTAGTTGACTATCGAAAGTTAAATGCTCTCACAAAGGATCAGGTGTATCCGATTCCGAACATTGAAGAGAGGGTGGAACAGGTTAGTCGAGCAGCTTACGTGACTACGTTGGACCTTACTCGAGGTTACTGGCAAGTGCCGCTCACTGAGCGAGCCAGCCGATACGCAGCTTTCGTTACTCCCGCGGGCAGCTATCAACCCACTATGATGAGCTTCGGTCTCAAAAATGCTCCGTTTTGTTTTTCCCGCCTTATGGACAAGGTTTTAAAGGGCTGCGAGGCTTTTGCTGTACCTTACTTGGATGACATCGCTGTATTCTCCGATGCCTGGGTGGATCATTTGATGCATTTAAGGGAGGTGCTCGGCCGGTTGCGTCAAGCAGGGCTTACCGTAAAGGCTGAGAAGTGTTGTCTTGCGAGAGCAACCGTCGACTACTTAGGTCACAACGTAGGACAAGGTTTCAGGAAACCCTGCGAGCTAAAGATCTCAGCAGTAGCTGACTATCCCCGGCCAATAACAAAGACCGACGTCAGGGCGTTTCTAGGACTCACAGGCTACTACAATCATTACATCCGAGATTATTCCACGTTGGCAAGTCCTTTCACCGATGCTCTCCGCGGGACAGAGCCTACGAAGGTGGCCTGGGATGAAAAGAAAGAAACCGCCTTCTTAAAACTGAAGGCAGCATTGATCAGCCGTCCAGTCTTGAAAGCTCCTGATTACGACCGCGAATTCACGGTCCAATGTGATGCTAGCGATCGAGGTCTAGGAGCCGTTCTATGTCAGAAGGATGACGATGGTAAAGAACATCCCGTGCTCTATTTGAGCAGGAAATTGAGTTCTCGTGAGATGGCGTACTGCGCTTCAGAAAAGGAGTGCGCTTGCATTGTGTGGGCCATTCATAAGTTGCAGTGTTACCTCGGAGGTGCTAAATTTACAGTAGAAACAGACCATTGTCCCCTTACCTGGCTGAAAACTGCGACATCGAAGAACAGTCGCCTTTTGAGGTGGAGCTTGATTCTTCAGCAATATCATTTTGATATTAAGTATAAAAAAGGCAAATTGAATGGAAACGCGGACGCGCTCAGCCGCTCTTTCTAAACCATTCTGGAGTGCTCTTGGTGTAACAAAATTGATATTTTAGTTTTTTCGTGCATCGTATGCAAATTTTTAAGGTAGCACGTTTGATTTCTCAGCACAAGTGAATCCTGAGAGTTCTGAGTGTGAGCTTTTGTTAAAGCTAGTAATTAAAATTGGTTTGCTATCCCTCTTTTGGCTTGGTTTGTTCGAAGGGGGCCGAGTGCTTACTTGTACATGTGGTCGAGTATCAGAGATGCTGTCGAAGATTCGGCGATCACCCGGACCATGCCACAAGCGAAGGCCAGTTCTTGGCATTCAACTACTGACCCTTTCGTCGTCCCTGCGAGCAGCAGTGTTGACCGCTGCCCTCCGTGACTCATCTGGCGAGGGGGAAGCTGTTACGACCGCCATCGGTAGGCGCCATGCTGTCGCTGAGAAGCGTAGCCGGGCCGCGTTCCCACGCCTGGAACCCAGGTTTTCTTGGAACCAGCGTCGAGATCTGACGGGGGAGCGGCGCTCTTTTGACCCTCAAACAAGTAGCCGACTCGCCGAATGCTTATGCCCGCCAGGTATTGTCACTGTTAGCCGGCGGATGAGACGTCACGTCGCCACGAAGCGGTAAGCCGTTCCAGAGGGGACAACAAAGACAGCGTCTTCCTTTGTAGAAACGGCGACCGCCGCCACAAAATGCCCTGCTAATTGAGCAGAGAGGTTGGCGGACCGTTTGATCTCTGCTGTCCGAAGCTTGGGATCCCTCGACCAGTGACACACACGACGAGCAAGAGCCCCTCTGGCGCCACCTTTAAGTGCAGTGATCTTGACTCGAAATTGGCTGTTCACGTGCGCCGTGCCTGCTCGTACCCCTCACCTGTTGTGTGTATGTGATTGGTGTTCGACTGAAGAAGGAGGAGCCCGACAGGGCTTATAACGGCGCCGCAGAGTGCAGGACGGCGCTCTGAACCCAGTAAAGGTTCAACCACCACGTTCGTAGTTTGTGAAGGCTCTGAACCAACTAAAGGTTTAACCACCACGCTCGTGGTTTGTGAACTCTTAACCTCATGCTGTAAATATTTGTAAATAGTGCCATAAACCTTGTTTGTTTTTCGTATCCCCATCTTGTAAGCGGTCGTTTCCTCAACCCGAAGCTACACCACGCTACCACAGCACCCCGGGATCGCGACAACTGGTGATCAGCGGTGGGATCACGACAACAGGCTATTTTAAAGTAATTTGTAAGCTTCCTTGACCTGCTTAGTTGTATTACTCTTCGAATTCCCGTAAAAGAATAGAGTGACATCAAGTGACATGCTCCTTTTCATTTACCTGCCAACCTCTGCCAACACCCTACTCTCCACAATACTAGAAGCCGTTACAATATTTATTTTATTGTTCGTGATGGTTTTTGTGTAGCTCACAGTCATAGTATTCCTGTGAATTTTGCAGTGTTTTAATACAGTTTAGCGCAATGTGTATATGTGCTAATGCTTTGTCTTACAGAAAACGTTGCACATTATTGCACGTGATTGTACTTAGCCTGGTCCTAATGTTTTTATCGCACTGCGTTTTTACTTTCTTTTGCCCTCTTGTCCTGATCTTTTGTTTTTACGTGTTTGCTGTATTAGCTCTGTATTTTCTCTTTAAACTGTTGTTCTTCTGTTGTTTTTACTAGGCCTTTTTCTCGTGTGCCAGCAAAAATACCGTTTGTTTGTTCTTGGTCACGTTAAATAAATTATTTATTTATATTATGGCTGTTAAGATGAAAATGATAATGATGATGATCATCTCTGTTAATGACAATAACACGTAGCGAACGCCAATGTGAGCTTAGTTCTTCAGGAATAATATGTAAAAAATGAAATTAAATTGCCCATGAAAGAAAAGAAACTGAAATTAGCAAGAACGTTGCAAGCACAAAACGCATGCATGAAGACAATTAAGCCAATTCCACAAGCATATATATCTATATATATATATATATATATATATATATATATATATATATATATATATATATATATATATAGTAGCCATAAAATACAGCGCCTTCATTTAAAACAACTGTTTACTTAGGACGAACCTTAACCCGTTAACTCAAGCTACTCAACTTGCGAAGAAGTCTTGTCTTGTCTTGTCGCCTAGATCTTGGCTCATACACACAAAAGGGCTTGGCCAAACTGTACCTTGTAATGAAAATTTTTCACACAAAGCTTGATAAAGAAAGGAGAGATTAGATAAGAACAATAATAAAGTTCCTTTAAAAAGCGTGAAAAGTGCAGAGGAATTTGTTAAACCAGAATATCCTAGGCTCCCTCCTACAAACTTCGTCGACATTCTCTTCAACCCTTTTTGTCTCGTGCCGGTCATTCTACGAGCCGCCAGTTTTCTTCAGCTCGTGGTACTGTGACACGTGCAGTTTAGCGTTTAAGTGCGCGCTTTCCTTGCCTACTTGTGGAGGAATATACAAAAACAGGAACTGGCCTGTGAGTACACAATGTGCCAGACAACTTGTGGCAATATATATTATTTGGTACCGGCGTCATCGCTGTTTTGACTTTTCAAGGATTAGCTGATTTGCCTTCCTCCCTGCATGTATGAAAATAAACACAGCCGATAATCTCGCACTTAAAAAAAAGAAGATTGCTCCAAGTTTTTTAAAACTTTTTTGTTTGCATAATTGAGAATGCTATTGGGTTCAGCAATTGGTTTAAGTATCCCTACTTATCTTTAGATTTCGCCTGTTATTGCATGTCCTTGAATAGCCTTGTCTTCTGGTAATTTTCCTTTTATTGAGTGTGTACCTTCCAAGAGTCAAGTGCAGTGGTGGCCAGAGTGGTTGAGAAGCGCCGCTCCATTCAACAACTCCATTCAAACTACTTTTCAAAAGCCCAGTAAAGTCGTACCTAAGTTTCCTCGAACCATAAACGACTGGAACTGCCTACCTCAATCGTTAACCGGCTCTGTAGAGGCACTTGAGCGTATTTAACCATGACCTATGTTTTTGTATCTTTTGTATATGATGTATCTCTTTATTGTCCTTGCTGTTTTACACCTGTGTGCAATGTTATGATCTTGCCCCTCCTGCTAAGGCCTTTAAATGTGCCTGCAGTATTTTGTAAATAAATAAATAATAAAGTGTAAGCTCGGAATGGCCATTTTTTAAATGTGGTTACTATGTTACGGTCCTTATTGCGTGGTCCCGAACAAAATATAGACACCCGTTAGCTCTTTGGGGATTTCACGGTTACATCGCTAAAAGCTTACAAAATGCATCGAAGTACACGCCATGCCAAGTGCTTGGAACGAGCGTTATTTCGTTTGCTGTCTTACAAAGCCTTTATCTTTAGTGTTTAGCGTGAACTTATTTATTTCGTCCAAACAGGAAGCAAGCCTAACGTGGCGCCAGTAACGATTCGGACTGTCCTCCGAAAGCCGTCGAGCAGCTCCAGGAAGTCGAATTTCAGTGCACGTTGTAGAGGCTGTCGGCACTTCGTGCTATCTTCGACAAATTTGATTGAGCTTTGATTGATCCTGGCCAATGAACACCACTTCGTGAACGTTTGCTTGTATTTCGCGTATTCAGGCACTTTATTCGCCACCACCATCCGCAGGTATGCCAGCGTTAGCCGACGCCGTTCAGGTTGACGGCTCCGCGGACGTCTTGCTTTTTTGTTTTTGAAAATAACAACGTAGAGGGTTGAATCGAGCGAGAGCCGGTTATACAATGGCCGAAGCGATTTCACACAAAAGGGTGGCGCGTGTGCTGCGAGGGACGCGCCGCACCTGCAGATCGGCCGACAGCTGGCGGGTGCGTCGGTTTTTTGTTGCGGCCGCACGACAACGCTCGCGAGAGGTTCCCGCTACGCCGCAGCGGCGGTAGCCAGCGGATAACTTTCGGAGGGCGAGGGGTCAAGTCTTCCCTCGCTGCTGACCCCAGAAGAGCCGCTCCCTGCCCTCTGGTGTGTGCGCGCAGCCGGTGCAAATCAGAGCCAGTAGGGCAGGCG